TGTAGTTACTATGTGACATGGAAATCAGAAGCCATGGATGGACTTGCTTATAGAATCCAAGCCTCCAAGCGCTGCTTCCACACCCAGCCCTAGATTCTGTTTTTGTTCACCATTTGCTAATAATATTGCCATATTATATTTATTGGCCCAAACATAGTTTCCTTAATTTTTAACATTTGTAATTTTTCAGCACATACAAGGCTGTTGTTAGGCCCCAGAGAATGGTGAGGCTCTACAGCTCAGCTTTTCTATCCTACCCCGCACAACTGTGCTCTTTATTTTTAGGCTTTCAATTCTATGGGTACAAATGTAAGCATCTCTTCCCTCTCTTCCCATCTAAATTTAGATAATTAAGAATTGGACAGATGAAAAAGCTTGAAAACTAGATAGCAAAGGAGCTTTGGAGATAGAGATTTTAAAGAGCAAAGTAAGTTGTGGTATCATGTTACTGATAAACCAACGTGCAAAATTATCATGGCCAGTGAATATGTGAACTACACGCCTTAGACCAAGTACTATCAGTCCTGAAAACAACTTACAATCGAGATTCCATCCAAAGCTTTTAGTTCTGGAAGATGATATATTACAAAGAACCGGTAGTTTTCTTGATTCCATACAATAATGTTCCCGTGCAGGTCTAGAATGACCAAGTTGCACAAACCCTAGGTAATAAAAAGATAAGCATTTGTATCTCATACACTGTCTCACACTCTAGCAAGTTTTGTTCTTTTAAGAGGCTGACCATCCTTAAATTATTTGAATTTTCTAGAATTTTCTAGAATGTGTTCGGTTTTAGTTTTTTTAGTATGTGTTGGCTGAACATCATGGTTGCATTCATTGTGGGGAGTTGGTTCATGCACATAACACATGATAACTCTTTTGCATACCCTTTCCTTCCCCTCTCTCCCCAGCCCTCTTCCCTTTGGCCCATTCCTCTTTGCCATTATCTACATATTGTTTTTACATTTGTTTATATTTTAGGTTTCTCCTATAAGAGAAACCATAAGATATTTAAACTAATGAGTCTGCTTTGTCTCACTTAACATTATGGTCTCCAGGTACATCCATTTTGCTACAAGTGGTTTAAATTATTCTTTCTTTACAGCAAAAGAAAGTATATTACATTTTATATTGTGTATAAGTAGCACATGTTCTTTATCCATTCATCTGTTGGTGGACATATTGGCCACTTGAAAGACTTAGTGATGATGAATTATGCAGCTATAAAAATGGGTGTGAATGTAGCCCTGTAGCACGGTGGCTTCAACTCTGGGGAAGATATCTAGAGGTGCAATAGCTGGGTCAAATGGAATTTTTAGTTGAAATATTTTTTAAGGCAGCTCCATACTGATTTCCATAGTAGTCATATTAGTTTACATTTCCACCACCAATATAGAGGGTTTCCCCCCCTGCAGTCTAGCCAGCATTTATTATTGATTTTTTGATGATAGCCATTCTTTCTGCAGTGAGACAATATCTAAGTGTTGCTTTTATTTGCATTTTGATGATGGCCAGTGATGCAGAATTGGTGTGTTTTTAAGAGTGCTTTGAAGTACAAGTGTTATCCTTTCACACTGCTGCAGTGTAATGTTGTGAAGTATGAATATTTCAGTGGTCTATATTACATGATCAGAATCTTTTTTAGGGTTGGTACTGTATTATTTACCAGAGGTAAAGCCTTAGAAGGAGCAACTCATATGTTGAGGATAATGTAAGGGCAATCAAAATGTCAAATATTTACAAATGTTTAATTTAAGGGCCAGCGAGATAGCTCAGCAGACTAAGCACCTGCCTAAGCAAGCGCAGGGACTGGGATTCGATCCCCGGCACCACATACCCTGCTGCTCCATTCCTGGGGATGCTGAGCTGGCCACTGAGACCAGGGATGGTGGCACATGCCTGTAATCCCAGCACTGGGGAGGCTGAAAACAAGAGGATCGCTATGAGTCTGAGCTCATGCGTAATGAGACCCTGTACCAAATACATAAAAAAATTCACTACACTAAAAGACATTACATTAATACTCAAAATACTTCCTCTTGCTTCAAGTACACTTATAACATCAATCTTGCCACTTTTTGAAGTAGTTCAGGCAATACTCTTACATGGTTTTACAAAGTGGAATAAAAAATTCAGTGAATGATGTTGCTGAGTGCCATTCAACGAAAAGGTAGACTCATAACAACACGACAGCATGTTCTTATCCACCTTACTCACAGGACCTGCTATTGTGAGATCTTTTGCTCTTACCCAAAGTCAAAATGACCATGAAAGGCAAATATTTTAAATCAATTCGGGCTCACAAGGCACCATGGCAGCACAAGGAAGACACTCTGAAAAGAGGACTCCGAGAACTGCTTCAGAAAGTCACAAGAACAATGGGAAAAGTGTTTGAACCAAGCAGGAATATTCTGAGAGGGCAATTAATGGAAATGTCCTTTACTGTAATAATTGCTTTTTAAAATTATTTCATATTCACTGAATTTTCCAATGACACTGGATATCATGTATGTGGGTACACAGATATAATGGGAATGAAACCCTGCCACTAGGGAAATCAGTGTGGAGATTCTTTAAAGAGCTAGGATCAGAGGGCCCATATTCTCCTCCTGGGTATTTTTCCAGAAGAACTGAAAACCTGATACCATAGTGATATATGTGTGCCCATGTTTATAGCAGTGAAATTTGTTATAGATAAATCCTGGAAACAACCCAGATGCCCATCAACTGAGGAATAGATACAGAAGATGTGGTATTTTTATACAATGGAGTACTATTCAGCTATAAAACATGATAGATTTGAGTCTTTTGTTAATGGATGCAACTAAGGAACATACTCTTAAGTGAAATAAATCAGACCTGCATATGCAAATATCATATTGTCTCCTTGGTGTAAGAACCTGAAAGAGAAAAATAGAATCTGAAGAGTACAGTAGATACTGGGAAAAGGGAATGAACTTATTCAAAAAGAATGAGTTACTGAGTTGTGGAGAAGGACAGGAGAGGGAGTAGGGGAAAGAGATTTATCTAGGTATGTAAGCAGGATGCTTTGGACAACTGTGTATTTCTGCTGGTCTATGAAAAGGAGCAGATAATTTGTTTTGTGCCTTTTTTTCAATTGTACTTTTCTCTTCTTAATTTCTTATACATTTTTTTCTTCTTCCAATTTTACAGGTATATATCTGGTAATACGAATAACTGGTTAGAAGACAACACTATGTATTACATTAGAACAAGTACCGTGAAGTACACATTGCTTTGTTAAGTGAAATTCTGCATCGCTTGTAATTTTTTTGTTATAATTCTAATTTGTTCTCTCTCTAAAAAATAATAAAAAAGACTCTGCCATTTGAAAAAAGATAAAATTAGAGTGCTTTTGTCTTCTAAGGAGGGTAGTAAAAATCATTGAGGGAAAATGTGCTCCTTATTAATCCAGACCCTTCGACACATTTCTGCTGTAAAGGCAGGACCCTGGGTAGGTGAGAGCAGCAGACGCTAAAGCAAGAGTGAGTAAAGTCTGTGTCGTCGTAGAAATGGGTTGCGACTGGTGCTAGTCACTGGGTTGCTGCTGTAGCTTTAGAAGTTATACTGGAAGAAAAGAATGGCAGACACTTGAATATGAGGAAAGACAGAAAATGGACATGGCTTTTGGTAGAGTAAGAGTGTGTTGGAAATATGTATTAACAAGAAGAGAGGTTAGTGCCAGGCTCATGAAGGGAGGAAGTGGTCAGTGAACTTAGGAAACTGCACAGTACTGTGTATTTTAAATAAACTCCTAGTCTGTAGAGAACTTTAGTGAAGGCCGTTACACGGTACCCTTACTTCATGGTTCCATCAGGAGAATTAAGGAGAATAAATCTGAATAAAAGTGAGCAGAAACAGAGCCTCTGTTCGGAACAGAGCAAGAGGATCAAGGGTTGTGCTGACACAAGAGAATGTTAGACAGCCCCATTCCCCTACCAGACGGGGGAATCTTGGCAGTACCGAAGTTAGGAGGATGGGTTTGTTGCTATTTTGGTTATGACAAAAGTTACCTTAGAAACTTATCTAATTGTGATAATTGTGGTTACACACACACACAGTAGTCCCTTGCTATTCTGTGATTCCACTTTTGTGAACACACTGTTTCACAGGTTTTCAAAAAAATATTAATCTAAATTATTTGTTGCAGATTTTTCACTATATGATGGGATTTTGTGGTAGTGTGCAATACTGTATATGTATTTATGTGTATTATTTGTGGTTTTAATGATTTTTGCCTAAAAATAATTTTTTTCAATGTATTTGGTACAGGGTTTCACTATGCAGGTCAGACTCATACTGAGCCTCCTGTTTTTAGCCTTCCCAGTGCTGGGATTACAGGCGTGCGCCACGATGCCTGGACTCGATTGCTGGCTCAGAGCACCCAGGGGCGGGGCCAGCGTGGCACGCGGGACCAGGGATCGAACCCTGGTGCCTGTGCTTGCCTAGGTGCTTAGTCCATGAGCTATCTTTCTGGCCCCCCAAAAAGTTTTACAATATATTTAAAATGTTAGTTCTGACTTATTAAAATAATATTAAATCAAAATAAAACACACTGTGTACAGTATGTATTTCTTTAGCGGATGAATACATACTGTACTGTACAGTATATGTATGTTGTTAAAATTATGTAGGTTTACCAGTTTAGAAAATGGTCAAGAACATTGGAAGTGTTTTTATAAGTGTGGGAAAAGTTTATAAGAATGTGGGAAAAGTTTATAAAGCCTTAAAACAAGTATAAATACTAAAATGAATATACCGTCGTTACTTCACTGATTTTCATTTATTGTAGGGGTGTCTGGAATGTAAGCTCCATGATAAGTGAGGACTACAGTGTGTGTGTGTGTGTGTGTGTGCTGAATACACATCTGTTAACCTTGTTCTTATGTTATCTTTCTTTTTTTATTTTTCTTTTTTTTTAATGCGGAACCAAGGATTGAACTCAGGCCCTTGCTCTTGCCAGGGAAGCTCTTATTCTACTGAGCCATCTCCCCGGCTATATATATATATATATATATATATATATATTTCCACATTTTCCCAATTCTGCATAGTGAATAGATTATTTTCAAAATGTCCAAAAAACCCGCAAAGAATTCATACCCCAGCTGGTCACCTTTAAATTGTAGATCTCCTGATTGACAGAAATGTAGTTATTGCTTATGTAGAGTTCGATTAGGGTAGAGGTCTTCTGTAAACCACTCAGTGAGGTAATTCTGTTGTTCTCAAGAGAAAGGAAGTGAAGATGAAGCATGTTATCAAAGGTATGCTTTTCCAAGCCAGTCAGAAGGTTGTTATTCATGCTGAGGCGGGTTAACTTAGTCAGCTTGGAAATGCCTGGAAAAAAATAAACAAATTCAAGGAAAGCTCTTGGGAGGCTGAAAGCAGGCAGATCACTAGGAGTCCAATCTATGAAGTGAGACCCTGTAGACCCTTATAGACCCTTACTAAAATACAAAAACAAAACAAAAAACAAAAAAGCCCTACAAATTCAAGGAAAAAATTAAGTGCCTCTGAAAGTGGGATTTTACAAACAGCTGACTGGTCATTTCACTGTAACACTTTCTAAGTTCCAACAGCTTTTGGGATTCTGTAGGATTAACCATCATTGCTTTCCCTTCTGTTTCAGAAGGGTATAATGTTGCGTGCAAGGTCTCGTGCCATATACCGTGTTTTAACCTTGGATTTCTAAGTAGATTTAATTGCCGATCTAATTGTTAAGAAAAAGCACTACAAAGAAACACTTTTTCTCTCAAATAACTTTCATAATAGTGTACTTAATTACAAATTATGATTTTCACTTTCATAATAACACAAAGCTCCAAGCGATCATTAGTCCACATTTTAAAACAGATAGAGTACAAAACTCAGGACAGTGATTCATTATGGAATCATCTGTTTTAAAGAGAGCTCTTTAGCCTACTTGCGCCATTTTTGCATAGACGCACTCTAAGATTGAAGTTCTGAAAATGACACCTTTCTCCAGGATCTACTTCTACAGGTATTATATACTGTGAGCACTCTTAGCTCGGCTGAAGGATAAGCATGCTGTAGTCAGAGCTGATTTCAACTACGTTTGGCATGACAGATACGTTAGGTAACTTTTGGGCCTCAGTTTCTTCTGCATCTATGAGAGAAGTACACAATGGACTTCCAAGAGGTTATGGAAATAAATGGAGTGATTTTTGGAGTGAAACAGTAAGAGAAAGTTCTTAGCAAGTCATAGAACATTTATTTCTACTTCTTTCCAGGTTCACAGTGTTAAGTGTAAGAAGAAGATAATGCTGGGAAAAAATATACATATTATATAATATATATTATATATATTCCAGAAAATGTACTCTAAATCTTTTTTTTTTTTTCTTTTTTGGTGGAACCATGTACTCTAAATCTTGGTGGAGGGAGGCAACACACGTGTTAATATTGAACTTTAAACAGTCAAAATATACATTATTATTACTGAGACATTACCTGAAACTATTTAATTAGATTTGTGGACCCATATAAAAGCTATAAAGTGTACTTTTGATTTTCAATCTTTAGAGAATATAGTTTTTATTTTTTTAAAGGCCTTAACAATTTCAAATATTACCTTAACTTCATATTTTGAAAGACGAATTAGGCGTTTTCATTTTTTCAAAAAAATACCTTACTAATCCATTTATGGAACTGTACCCATCAGGCTTTGGGGACAGGTGGGAACCACTGGGATAGGGGATGGGGGTGGGGAAGTCAGCTTGCGACATAAACTAGTTTGTGACCATCCCACCTGTTGACATTTAGAACATTCTGCTGAAAACTTGCTTGGAACTTCTGTAATGCTCTCCTCAGTGTGTCTAATTTTTCACACGGGCTACTTGGACATTCAGGCTTTGAGGCTTGAGCGTGGTCTAGTGGTTTACCTTCGATCTTTGAGATGCAGTTTCCATTGAGTGTGAGCTCTTCCAAGTTGACACAGCATTCCAAGCCCTCCATTTTCGTCAGATTATTATTGCTGAAGGATGCCCACTTCAAATTTTCCAATTTTTCTAGATTTTTTATTTCAAAGAGATGCTGTCCATCTAAATTTAAGGCAGTTATCTATAGAATAATACAATAATTCACATTATGTTACTTCTGAATCTTGTAAATAAATTCAATCAGTAAGATTTTAAAAGGCCAATGAAATAATAATTCAAATGTGATATATATCAAAAGGATCCTGCAGTGACCAAAAATATTGCACAGTTCTTGTTTTACCCAAGTAACACTTGACAAGATTATAGAGTCCCAAAAGGGGTTCTGCGGTATTTCAGACCCGGATGTGCTGTGTGTTCCCACCGCAGGGATGGGCCAGCCAGCTGCTGCTCCTCTCAAGCACACGCCCCTTCCCAGGGTGGCCTAAGGCCAAGGAGGGTGTCAGGTGGCAGCTCAGCCATCTTAGTCCTACCACAACTCTCTTAAAGGTCCTCGTAATTTCGGGATCTCCATGCAGCTGAGTCACGTTGTCACTGGGCCCACACTGCAGGTCAGTATCAGTACGCATCCCATGATAAAAATGCCAGGAATATTTTTCATTTTAAAAAGCCTCTCTTAGCCCAGTTTCTGTGAATTCCTATTTTCAGAGCCCAGCTGCTGTCTGCCATGCAGGCTCTAGACACAGCTGTGGAGAGTTCAGCTGAGCTCAGACTGCAAGAAGTTGGCAGGCCTCTCTGACCTCTGTCATTCTCTTTGGCTGGATTCTGACTCCTTCCCCTGCTCTCAGAGTCCTGGTCCCTTGCCACCCATTTTGTCTTCCTCTCTGGCTCTATCCTTTAAAGTCTGCTGGCCTCCTGTGACATGTATCAAAATCTGTCCTTTGCAGCATGCCTTTATTCAAATCTCCAATTCTGTGCCTACTCTGTTACATCTATTGCACTTTTAATAGTTTGTTTTATGAAATGTGGTAAATTTATTGATTTGTTTCCTAATAATTACATTGTCCTTTTTCTTTTCTTTTTATTCTTTAAAAGTGAATTTGATATGGGGTTTCACTATACAGCTTAGACTTTTAGTGATCCTCCTGTTTCAGCCTCCCCAGCTCTGGGATTATGTCTGGCTCAGTGGCCAGCTCAGCACACCCAGGGCGGGGCTGGCACAAAGTGTGGTACTCGGGATGGAATCCCAGTCCCTGCGCTTGCTTAGCCAGACACTTAGACCGCTGAGCTATCTCCACAGCCTCTTATTTTCTAAACTTTAGAGAAGGAATAAACCTAAAATTGTATACACTTAATGTGCGCAACTGCTGAGGACCAGCTTAATGTGGTATAGAGCAGGCAATGATTAATACTAATAAACATACACAAAAATAAGTTGAGGTGGGCCGGGGAGATGGCTCAGTGGAATAAGCTCTTCCCTGGCAAGTGCAAGGGCCTGAGTTCAATCCCCGGTTCCGCAAAAAATTAAAACAAAAACAAAAATCCTTGAGAGTCTGTCCTAGACCTACATGACTAGTGGTATTTAAGGACAAGTTACTCTTTAAGTCAATGACCAGAGCTGAGACCAGTGAATACTCCGTGAAGTTCTGAGGACTGACACATGTAAATTCCTTCTAGCTCAGTGGACTAGTTAGCAGACTATCTGGCTACCAGTTAACCATCATCTATCTGCTCCTGGGTGCTCTTCAGAGCTGCATCATTCCTCAAGCCTTGAACCTTGAATGGCCTGCAGCTCACCCCACTTCTTTTCTCAGCCCAGCATCATACCCCTCAATCACTCTGTGCATCTAATAAAGACCAAGGCCATTGAGCCTCATGTCCTAGCCTGTCCTGGGGATTTGACCATCCTGGTGCCCCTTGTGAGTAAAATATGTTTCATTCTGCTGCGGTACCCCTGAGCAGCAGTCCTAGGCCAGGGAGGGGCCCAATGCACGACTTAATTTGATATGCACACCTTTTCAATTAAATGCTGCATGATCTCAATCATATGTAGAATCTAATTAATGCAGGTCTCAATTAGGATAGAAGTGAAGAGCAGCATGCTGGTCATCAGAGGCGGGAGCAAGGAGAATGGAGAGGGCTTGATCAAGAGGCCCACGTTTCAGTAACGCAAGATAAAGCAGTTCAGGCGATTTAATGTACAATGCAGCGACTAAAGTTAAAAATACTCTGTTTGAAATTTGCTGAAAAGATGGACCTTAAATGTTTCTTGCCTATTTCATTTTAATTCATCTCTTCCCATTTTCTGCTCCTTACCTGTGTGTGTCCTCTTTTATGACACACAGTTCAAGGCTAACTTAAAAAATTAATTGAAAGCAAGCTTTTCTATCAGGTTTAATAACGAGCGTTTACCTTCAAGTACCAGCTTCCACACAGGTGTAGACGTGGTCCTAACTTTGAAATCTGTGTCAGGATTTTGGCAGAAGGCCATATGCTTAGTGTCCGTGGTCTCTCCTCTTTAGTACCACAGTGCCTTAAGATACATGACTAGTAAGACAGAAAAAAAAGGTGAATAGCAGAAATAGCAGAGGTTCATCTACACATAGTTTAAAAGTATAATTTCCTTTGGAAGATGTATAATTAATTTTAAAATAGCACATTCCCTTTGCCTTATTTTCAGTATCTGTATATATTTAAATTATCTTTTGATTGCTTAAAATATTCAACTATTCCAAGATAAAACTGATAAAATTTCATAAAGAATTACTACAATACAAACATCTACACATGGCAGTCACTCATAAAACCACCTTGGCAGCCACAGTCCTTCTAACTCCCTAAGAGAATCCCCCATCCTGAGCACTTTGCCCTCCTTTGCCTTCGAAGTAATCCTTATTTCAATTTTTTCTATTATTTACTTGCTTTCTTCATAGTCTATGTTTAACTCAATAAGTAATAGATTTAGTCTCGAGTACATGTAAACATTACATAAACCGAACAATGTCTTTTATTCTGCTTTTTCTTCACCCTTGTAGTCACCAGGTTAATCAACACTTCCACTTGCATATAGCTGGGATCTACTCACGCTAGCGCTGAGCAATTCCCCCAACAACTCCCGTTTCTTAACACCATGGCTGATTCGGTTTGTTACTACAGACAGTGTCATCATGCACATACATGTGAGGGTTTCTTCAGGGTCTATAGCCCTAAGTTAACGTGCTCAGCTCTATGTGGTGTGTGAGTGCACGCACCTGTGCATATGTGCACACACGTGTGTGTGGTTTACAATGCCCCACTGTTTCCCAAAGTGATCGTGCCAACTATAAATGTTACTTCAGATCCTTGCTGAAACTTGATATTGTCAGGCTTCAGTAATTGGTAGGTCATGATGATTGCAGTGTTCATTTTCCTGAATGCTGATGTGGTGACCCACATTTGTTTCTAAGTTAATTGGCTGTTCTAATTCTCTCTCCAGTGAAATGTCTGTTCCATTTTTTCTGTTCACTTGGTTTTCTATTTCCTTATGTATTCTGGATGTGTAAAGAATATCTTTTGACACTTGTGCTGTAAATTTGTTTTCTCAGTATTGTCTTTTTTACTTTCTTTGTAGTGTCCTTTGAAGAAAATCCAATCTTTCATGCTTTATGATCTTTGCTTTAGGCCTAATAAGTTCTTCCTTAATTGAAGATCTTAATCACACTCACTGATATTTTCTTCTAAGACGTTTTTGCTTTTGCCTTTGCAGTGACATGTTTAATGTATTTGTGCTGGTCCCTTTTATTATACAGCCTCCCTCACCTGCAAAGGTGACTCTGCTAATTTTCAAGTTTCCACAGATGTATGGATCTTCATTAGGTTTTCACTCTGTTCCATTGATCTATTTGTCAAATTGCATTGTCTTAAATTTTTTTAATTGTAGGGTAAGTTCCCACATTCCTAGGTACTCTTTAGGAATGTTAAGTATATATATTTTTATCAACAAAAGAGATTCTTCCCTTCATTTTGAATAGACCAAAAATAAATCTAGTGTCCACTGTTTAAAGAATATTTGAATACCCTACAACAATAAAGAGCTAGATAGCTGGGGTAAAGATGTTGAAAATGCTGAAGCTATTTTGGCTAAAGTATAGCCCTGTTAATCTGGATAATAAAGGGGAACCTCCCCACAATGGTTTTTTTTTTGTTTGTTTGTTTGTTTTTTTTGTTTTTTTCAGAACCAGGAATTGAATTCAGGCCCTTGCACTTGCCAGGGAAGCACTTATTCTACTGAGCCATCTCCCTGGCCCCTCCCCACAATGTTAACAGAGTTTGTTCTTTTTAGCCAGACATATAAGATGTCAGTACTGAGAATATGATTCATTAGATGGTTTCTTGAGGCCCTAAGCTTATCTGATCCTCAGAAAGTTGTTTACTTCCATATATATTCTGTAAAGACTCTGGTGACTAGGAAAAAACCAGGATCCTAGAATAGTGGTGGTAAACCTCTGGCATGCGTGCAACAGCCAGCTGTTTATTTTCACTGAAAGCTCTAAAACATTCACCACCCCTGTCCCAGAAGTAGCCATGGGGCAGTGTTCAGGGTTGTTACCAAGATAATTAAACGGGGTACATCTGAACAGAAGATGATCAAGTTGCACGACTGTTTAACATACTAAGGGAAATATGAAATCTTTTTTTTTTTCTGTATTTTAGGGAAGGGTCTACAGGGTGTTCAGGGTCTCACTACTAGGTCAGACTTGTAGTAATTATCCTGTTTACAGCCTCCCAAGTGCTGGGATTACAGGCGTGCACCATCACGCCCAGTCTCAATCGCTGTCTCAGCATGCCCCCCTCCGGGAGGCGAGGCCAGCACGGCAGGCCCGGGAATCAAACCCCCAGCTCCTGCACCTGCTTGCAGGTGCTTTAATCTGAGGAATATGAAATCTTAAAGATAGAAAATGAGTATGGGAAACATTTGTATGTTCCAAAAAGCACACAAGAAATATTAAATAGAAGCCAACCTGAGTGATCTTTGTTCCACTGATAAATTTCAGAGCTGCTGCTGTTTCTTCTTCAGAAATAAAGAGCCCATCTAAATGTGTGAGGGTCTTTAATCTGCCAATGACGCTCAGTCTCAATGTGGCTGGCTTGGGAAAAACAGCAAAACAATTTTCACAAAAGATTAAATACACTATGAGTGCTTTTTCATTCCTTTCCATATAATTGAAAATTAGGTATTTCCTTATGCATAAAGCATGATTGAAAACACAGTGATTATTGATTCCGGGCCAATAAAGCCAAGATGGTATAATGAAAGACATTCATGAAAGGCAACTTCCAGAACTGCTGCAGAAAGTGACAAGCGTGATGGCTTATGTGTGCTGGAAGTGAGGGAGAGATGCTGAGGTAGGCTAGTAGCAGTGGGTCTTTTACTTTCACAACTAAAATAATTAAGCATTCGCTGTTTTGCAGTCATACCTCATATATTTAAAATTTAAGGCTTAATTTAATTATTTACATAGTAATTGAAATGAGGGCTGGTGAGATAGCTCAGTGGACTAAAGTGCCTGCTTAGGCAAGCGCAGGGAATGCAGTTCGATCCTTGGCATCACATGAGGCACCAGCCCTACCCCAGGGTGGGCTAAGCCAGCCACAGAGCCTGGGCATAATGGTGCCTGCCTATAATCCCAGTGCTGGGGAGGCTCAAAGCAGGAGGATCACCATGAGTTCGAGCTGCATAGTGTGACCCTGAAACAACCAAATACATTTAAAAAGAAATGAACGGAACGCTAAGAACTACTCTGTTTAAGTGGATGGTTCTCTTGGCAAGGTGGGAAATTCTATGAACTGTTGACTGAATTAGAGAACCACCGCAACTACCTGTGTCAGTTCACATGGGCAGGAAGCCAGAAAGGGCCAAGTGCCACCAATAGGCTCTTCGGTCCTTGATTCCCTGACTGGGCAATGGGGATACCTATACTATTATCTAGGAAGCCTGCTTTGGCAAAGGAAAAATACATTTCAACCATAAGTTTAAAAGAAGAGATACAACAATATAAATTTGATAATATGTTCAATTTAATGAAATGAATTATTCTTTAGTTCTTTTTAAAATGTAGAACATAGCCTCATGTATATCTTTAAGAAGAAGAGCAAGGAAGAGTCTTGAAATTACAAGTTTTAGGTTTACCTAGTATACTTGGAGATATCCTTAAACATAATTATTGAAAATTTAAATTATATATTTTTATGATAATAAAAATATTCAAACATATTTCCATTACAAGTTCATAATGCAGACCTATGGTGGGTGATTTTTGGACTTAATATAGAAAAGAAAATGCAGAATGCAAACAAAAATTAGAAAACATAAGACATATCAGAATCAAACTGATTCCTCCTTAATACTGCGCTTTGTCTGGGTTCTTGTCCTTCATCACAGTAGGATTCCAGTGCACAGCCATACAAGTTCCCTGGAGCATTGCAAAAGGCAATGATATAAGCTACCTTAGGGCAATGTTTTAGTTTTCAAAGTGAATGTAAATTTTAATTATCAAAAACAATATGACTGAAACCTTTAAAACTTATCTGGCAATTCATCACATCATTGCAAGAGCCAAATATGACCTTAAGTTTAATTTATGAAAAACTTCAATTGGACAGGTTGTTCATATGGGAGTTAAAACATGTTTTCAAAGGAACCTGAGGCTAAAACTAACTTCTATACTGAAATAATTGCGTATAAAACAACATGAAGTCCTGAAGCTGAGTGGACAAGCGTGACCTAATAGCCAATGTGCTTCTCTTCACTGAAAAATAAGGGAGAAATCTTGGGGAGAGCCTTAGAGCAGCACAGAGGGGGAGGAATGAAGGCCAACAGCAATATTTTTACAGGATTAGAGGTTACACAAAAGCCTGACATGAAATTACAGCCCTTGATTCACTTGACCACCACAGGTTATGCAAGACTTAAAGGAACTCTACAAAAATACAGTTGGCCTGGTGCTGGCTGTTATTAATAGCAAAGTAGTGAGGAAATGGCTTTGAAATCAGGGTGTGTGCCTTTTCATAACCATGCCTGTTGCATACCTTCTGCCATGGATTGTGCTGAATATTAAGGGTGAGAAGGCTTGTGGTGTGTTTGCACAGCACGTTTATTTCATCTCCAGATTTTTTCAGCTGATTCCAGCTCAAGTCTAAGTGCTTCAGTTTCATCAGCCCTCTGAAGCCCTCCAGGGTGATCACGTGATTGTGGCTTGCATCCAAATATTCAAGGTTGTACTGCAACACACAAAACAGAAGTGATGCTACATTTACAGCATTCTTTTTTTCAGTACTTCACATAGCTGATCGCGGTGGTGCATGCCTGCAATCCCAGCACTTGGGCGGCTGAGGTAGGAGGATCAGTGCAAGAGGCCAGCCCGGGCTACATGAGTTCAAGGCCAGCTGACTCTGCACAGAAAGACCCCTGACAAAACTGCTCCCCCGATGAGAGTGCACATGCTTTCTTATAATTCCAACAGAAAACCTTTCCCTATGTAGAATTTTGCATCTATTTAACATTTTCTTTTTCTTTCTCACATTTTCCAGATCATTGTATGTTCTTCAAAATCATTTTTTATGATGGGGAAATAAGATAATTCCATGACAAAGAACTGAAAAAAGTTATGACCACCAAACTGGCTTTACAGAATTCCCTGAGACATATTAGAAAGAAATAACGAAGACAACAACAGAAATAACGAAGGAACACCAATAGAAATAAGCTGCTAGATAGGACAAGCAATTAAGCAGAGCAGAAAGAAAGGAAAGAGACAAGGAAAAAACATAGAGGGATTTGTTGCAATAGTGTTTGTAAATAGGATATCATGTCTGCATCTTGTACAGCAAATAACCACTAAGAAGAGAGTATGTAATGTGTTAATTATTGAAACTGTCCTACCAATTTGATTGAAACTGTCTCATTGCTATTTGCTTCTCAACAAAATTATGGAAAAAAATAAAAAAAATTAAAAAAAGAATTTAAAGTATTAAAAAAACATGCAAAAGAAAAACCAATACATATCAGTTATAATTACCAATGTAAATGGTCTCAACTCACCGATCAAAAGGGACAGACTGGCAGAATGTATCAAGAAGCAAGATCCAGCAATATACTGCCTTCAGGAAACACACTTAATCCAAAAAGAAATTCAAAGGCTAAAAGTCAAAGGATGGAAAACAATTCTCCATGCACAGGAACCCAGAAAAAAAAACCAGGGTTGCTATCCTATTTGCAAACAATTGCAAGCTTCAAGCCAAAGCTATAAAAAGAGATAAAGAAGTTCACTACATACTTCTTAAGGGAAAGCTCCAAGAAGAGGTAACAATCATAAATACTTATGCATCCAACACAGGTTCACCCGACTGCATAAAACAAATATTAACGGACGTGAAAAACCAAATAAACACTAGCAGTTGTGGTGCAGAACCTTAACATCCCATTCTCACAAATGGATAGGTAAGTGAGACAAAAAAATCAACAAAGAAATATTAGAATTAAAACAAACCAAGTGAGTTCAAAGTAAGTATGCAGTGAGTTCAAAATAAGCCTCTACCACATAGTGAGACCTTGTCTCAAAAAAACCCCCCAAAAACACAGAAATTCCCAGTACTTGAATTCTCATTTCTAAATACCTTTTCCATAAAAATTTCTGAATTGCTATAGAAGTGCCATTCTCATTCCTGTTTTCTCTCTTTTAAAAAAATCAGTTTTTATGACTGCATAATAATAGAATTTGTGGATTATTATAATTATTTAAGCATCTTATGTGGGAACTTCCTATTTCTAATTGTTAGTGACACTCCAGAAAACACCAATGAGAATGATACTTCTATGGCAATTTAGACATTTTTACAGAAAAGGTATTTAGAAATGAGAATGCTAGTACTGGAAGTTTCTGGGTTTTTTTTTTTGAGACAAGATCTTGCTGTGTGGTGGAGGCTTATTTTGAACTCGTTACATACCCGAGGCTGGCCTTGAAGTGCAGCAGTCCTTTTGTTTTGGTCTCCTGAGAGCTGGGATTACAGGTGTGTGTCATCACACCTGAGTAAAGATTTTTGTATTGGGAAGAGTTTTAAAAATACTTCTACATAACTTTTTTTTTTTACATAGCTTTCAAGGACATTTGCAAAATATTTTCTTCTAACAGTAGAAAATGAGAACACTCATTTCCTTGTATACTCAGGGGTCTACCTGCTTGATTTTGATTTATCTTGTTTATTACTAGTGAAGCTGAACATCTTTCCATGTATTTCCATTAGTTATTTGAAATTGTTTTGCTTGCTATATGTCTTGTCTTTCATTATTTGTTATATTACGTGTCTTGCTTGTTTGTAAGAAATTTCTATGACTTTAGATTGCTGTATTTATTGCACATAAAATTTGTTTTTAAAATGTAATTAATTCAGATCCAGAACAATAAAAAGACAAAGAGAACTATAAGAAGTTACTTTTGCAATGCAGCTTTTAAAAGGAAAACTATTATAATATATTAAAAATAAATGAGATTTCTTCTTAGCTTAATTAAAACAACACTCAAGCTCACCATAGAATTAGCATTCCTTTATCACTCACAGTTTGTATTGCTGGAATAATACTTATGGTGGTTCAGTTTTCAAGAGATGAATTCACAAATCATCAGATCCTCAAAAAAATCTGTAAGCCAAACTGAGCAACTGATTTCTATTCTTATAAGCAAGTGTAGATAAGTAAACCAAAACAAAAGCTTTGAATAGTTGTCATTTCTTCAACAAAAGGCTGCTTCCCAGTAAAGTATGAAAGACATAAGCTTAACTAAGTCTTTTAAATAACATCAATTCTTTTTTTGGTAAAGCTTTACTCAAGGTCCTTCTCTTCCTGGTCTGCATGGCTGCTTGGTGGAACTCTGTTGCCATGAGTGGCCCTCGGTGCAGACTGGCATTTGAGGACGACAAAACCATGAAAAGATAACTGGCAAAAAGGAGGGTGGGCACCTCCTTTTTGCATCCTCAGGAACTTGGTAAATTTTCATAGATGGCATTTTCAGTTTTGAAGTCAGGTTTTTCTGTTCTGATACTTTTGTGCATCAGTTTAAAAATCTGCCTTAAATTATAGTCCAGTTCAACTTGTGAAGTTTAAGACCCACAATAACATATTTAAACTTTCTCAGAAATACTAATTCATTCTCTAAATATAAATGGGTTATCTCTAGAAGTGAGAAATACCTTAACAATGGAGTTCTCATTTAATAAAATAAAACACGGAGAAATACTGTTCTATAAAGCATTAGAGGTGTAATCTAAAGTGAGGGTGCTGTTAGCCATACACAGTTGTTAGCCTCTGGTCAACTCCAAGTGGAATGGAGCTGTTTCCAGAGGAAAAAGAATGTTCTTATGCCTTTCTTTTAGAAACTTTTCAGGGCTGGGGAGATGGCTCAGTAGAATAAGTGCTTGCCTGGCAAATGCAAGGGCCTGAGTTCAATCCCCAGTTCTGCCAAAAAAAAAAAAAAGAAAGACACTTTATTTTTCTGATACTGTTATTTGAGGCAAATGAATGCTACATATGCAGTGTAGCATATACCTTGTTTACAATGCTAAAATGTTCTATAAGAACACTACCGTATATCGCTTTAGTTTTCCACTACTTCTAAAGCCCAGTCCTTCGTCATATAAACCAAGTCTTAGGTCGGGTGGACATAACACAAGGACAAGATGAGGAACCCTGCAGCATTAATACATTTTTGTCTTCCTATGTGGAATAACCAAACTAAGTCATTTGCATAAAAAGTACAAAGAGCACAGAAACTGTCCATATCAGACACATACTTAAGGGCAATGTTACAAAAAATGAGATATCCCCAGGGAAAGATGGGAATTCCAAATGAGTGATTCAATTAAGACAGAATTCTTTTTATTATTTTGGGATAGACATAATATTAAATACATGTCCAATGCCAATTCTTATTGGACAATATAGAGACAGTGACCATATAGGTTCAATTTCTCTGATCCCCTATATAAAAACAACAGAGCAGATACATAAAACTAAAACGCTAAGGATGAAAAGCCCACTGCATTCAATGGACTCTGTAAGCCCTACAAGGAACTGGTGGAGATGAGCCATGGATAAGCACTAGGCCCACAGCACATAGTCACTGGACCTGCAGATCTGTTCAGTTAGGACAAAACCTGGTATCCTTCTTTCCATGCTATTCTGCAGACTGGCAAGTGGATGTCTAGTTTGGACTAGACCCAATTCCACTTCTTCAGCAAGACTTCTGTTTGACAAGACAAGACTGTAGGAGGCCCATAATATCTGGCTGTCTTGCTGTTGTGATTGCAGGAGGCATTGTTTCATTTGTAACTGTGTGTTTGATGCTCATCACCAGTCCTTATGGTGATGGGTCTCTAAACATTTTCATTGGTGCTCGCTTTGGCGGCACATATACTAAAATTCTAAATACTTTGATTGTCTGGAATATGTCCCATTATAGATCCTAGAAAGGACATGTGGAAACAATATCAAGGAACTGTGTGCCTTTAAGAAATAGTAGGGAACCAATTTCTTACCTTGAAAATTGGTAAATAATGAAATATTTATTCTATAATTTCTATAAGAAAGCTACTACTGGGTAATAAAACAATAGATAAGGAAACACGTGCTTTTGTAAAAGTATTCAAAAGAACAAGAAATGACTGAATAGGAATAATAGCATTTTGTAATTTCCAAGAAATTAATGAATATAGTCTTTCAAAAGGCATATATGATTGTATCAGGCAAACCAGAAGGGCCAAGGCTGTGGAAAACTCTGGGGCAGAAAGCCCAAGCACTTACATGTCATTTGGAACGAAACAAGGTGGAAAGAAAATCTTTAAATGGAAAGAGATGTAAAAGGCACAGTACAAAGGTGATTCGTGAGTAGTGAGCATACGTTTTGCTGTTAGATTATATTTCTATTTTTATACAGTGCACATGCACAACCTCTGAAATAACGGTAAGATGCAACAAACAGAATAACTGACAGAGAAGAAAGCAGAAAGACAGTACTGTTTTTGAATGGCAAAGGCAGACAGCTGTGCTGGGATGTGCGCTTGGGTGACACAACTAGTTGGGCAAATGCAGGGAGAGGATTACTACAGAGCTCAGTGTAGTGATTTTTTATGGAGAGATGAAGGCAAAGGATTCAGACGAGGAGATCTTCCCCCCAGGCAGCGAATTCTATTTCTTGACCTGGATGCTGGTTCCCAGCACGTTTTCCTCTTGCTGATGTTCAAAGTCATACATTTGTTGTTTTTAGTTCTCTGTATTTGTTTTATTTTGTCATAATGATCCAAGATTACACATAAATATCCGTGTGGAGTATCTTCTCTCTCTGGCTACCTACAAAATCTGAATAGTCATTTTTAGAGACCTATAACAGATACCTGACTATTCATTGACAGTCCACGTCTTGCCACCGTTGCTGATCTTAAAATTCAAGAATTCCACCTGGACATAAAATGTGCCCAGCTCCCTTATCTGTAAAATGAGCAGGTGAAATTCTTCCCTCAAGGAGACTGTGAAGCTGTGACGGTGAAAGCAACATTTTATTACTGGAAAACAAAACCATGTGTGAAACAAGAACTGATTCCAGCCTCTATCCAAGTACAGTATATGACTTAAATGTTTACTCTTTGAATTTGTGCCTAAGCAAACTTTTAACGACTGTCATATCTTTTAGAACGGTTAACAAGTCATTAAAAATGTAAATAAAAATGCCAATAATCTACAGTGCTGGGACCTAGATTAAACTATCGCCCTTCCACACTTATTTTTTATTCAACTGCATGCTGAATACAGGAATTCTATGTACTTAAGGGGTTAGGTATAACAAGAGAAAGAAAGGAGGGGTTTAACACTCAAACTTAAGGGTAGTAAATAAGGTAACAGTTCTCACCACAATGGTCAAGAATCAGTGAAAAGCTTTTATACGGTTGCAAAGAAGTAGCGAATAAATAAGAACTGAGAATAAAATATTCTGAAAAGGTACATGACTGACCTGGAACCTGCATAAACATGGGATGCTGGGTTGAAGTTCTAGAACCATATATATAAGTATTTTTGTTACAGGATATATAACAAGAAAACATAAGTCAGACAAGATCCAAGCCTATGGCATGCACACTGATGTTAAGCAAAATCTGTGCATGTGACAGAAAGTACAAGAGACAGAGAAATGAAAACCTGGATAACAAGCAGATGGGGAGAAGAGGTCATGTTAGATGTAAACTCGTAGTATAGGCGAGATAGCTCAGTGGTCTAAAGTGCCCGCGGAGGCAAGCTTAGGCAGCCGCAGGGACCGTGGTGGGTGCTACGCCAGCCCCGCCCCCAGGGTGGGCTGAGCCGGCCACAAAAAAATAAAATACATACATAAATAATAAATAATAACATGGTAATACAGAAAATGAAGAAGAAACAATAGCTCACAGAAGGAATAAAAGAATAGTGGGAAAGAACAGAAAAATGGAAATAGCACTTAGGAAAGGACACTTTACAACTAAATCTGAGAAGTTATTTTAACATATTTAATATAGCTAGAGATCTGATATGAACACAGGTATATTTTTGATTTGCAAATGAAAAGACTTATTTTAGAAGAATAATGAAATATAGTGTGTATATGCTTTCTTATTTGGGCTGCATTATTATTATTATTTTTTTTTTTTCGGAACCGGGGACTGAACTCAGACCCTTGCGCTTGCCAGGCAAGCGCTTATTCTACTGAGCCATCTCCCCAGCCCCTGGGCTGCATTATTATGCATTTGGTATATATGAAGTCATAATTATAAAGGTAATTTATTCATTATTTCAATTTACTTAAATATTTTCCAAAAGCCCCAAACTGTCCTTTCAAAAGAGTTTTCTTTAAAATAATACCTATTCCAACTTATCTTTTAGTTTTATGGTTGTTTTTGTCTCCCAAGGATTAAAAAAATATTAAACTTGGCATATGAAATTTGACCACATTCAAGTTATGCAATGTGATTTGGTACACACTGTGTAATGACTACTGTAATCTAATTAACACAACCATCACCACATGCACGTTGTGCATTAGGTGTTAGCACTAGTTCACCTTATAACCTTATAACTAAGATTTTATATCTTTTAGTCAACAGGCCTTCCTTTCCTTCAGCTCCTAGGCAATGGAGCTATCGTTTCATTCTTTGCTTTCAGGAGTTTGGCTTATTTTAGATTCCCAACTACACTTCTTACCAAGTAGTATACATCATCTAAGCAAGTCAGTTCATTAAAGCTGATGCTCAGTTTCCGAAGTCCTGTTAATTTGGAGAGATCTCGCAGTTTACTCAAGCTGTTGCCATGTAGATTAAGACTCTGAAGTGGAAAAAAAAAATATATATATATATATACAATTACATTCTATGTCTTATCTAAGTGTGACTATCTAACATGTTTAGAACAATTACTTGCACCAATATTTTCTGTTTAGGGGAATTCTTGATGCTTACACGTTTTCTGCCTTCAAATAGCTGTGAGTGGTACAATGTGAAGACTATATTCATTGACAGTGTAGGAAAAAACAATGTCTCCAAGAAAATGTATTAACACAACTGACTACAGTACTTTCAGCAAGTAGGGATTATCATAATACAACCAGGTGTCTGTTCTCAGTCATCTTCACTTACCAACATCATCTTCTACTGTGCTTATTACTGACGTCTTCAAAGGGAAAAACAAAAAAATTCTTAATAGCAACTAAAATCAGTGTGAAGAAGGGGCACATTATGAAAACTAGTGATCTTACAAGTCACATACGAATATCACCCATAATAAGTCTCTACACACACTTTACATTTAACATATCTACAATTGAAGTATTCATCTTTATATGCCTCCTTGGTGGCCTATATTTTTTCTCAGTTAAGGGTTTTGAGATCTAACTTGACATATTATTAACCACCTCTTTTCCACATAAACTTGATTACAGAAGTGTTTCTCAAGCCACCTGTTACACTTCATCATCACTACTGCTCTGTTAGTACAGATAATATATCTCCCCTGTATTACCACAATACAGTAATTTTCTAATTTCCAAATGTCAGAATTTAGTTAAATCCATCCACTAGCTACCAAAGTTTTGATCTCTAAAGCAGTCTATTCCTTAATGAGGGGGCTCTATACTTTGAATACAACTTCCAAAGCCCATCCTAATGTGGCTACAACCTTCTCATCCAGCCTCAGCTTCCTATGTCTTCCTTTAATTCCAACCTGTATCTTGACCTTCAGTGGTCATAATCTATATCCTACTCACTCAAAGACACCAGTATCTTTCACAATCATGTACCCATAGGTGGAGTGTTTCACTATCTAAAAGACAGAAGCAACCAAATTTCTCAAATGCTTCAATATTTGATTCAAAACTCACCGCGGTGAAGCACTCCCAGCAACGCTAAGGTTCCTACACTTGTTAACAAATCTCCTCCACTCCACTGCTGCTGAGGTAGGGAAAATAATGAAACCCTAATACTTACTTCATTGCCCAAGACATAGTGACTTCATTATAAATTAAATAAAAAACCATATTTATAGCTGATGACCCAAATTTTTACCATTTAGTTATGCCATGAAAGAATATAGAATTCTATGTTATGTACTGTGGGGCTTTTGTTTTTATGATTTATTTTTATGGAAAGCCTCATCAAATTCAACCTAGTGGGAAAGATAAAGCACAGGAAACGTGCCTGTAATTGCTCTATAGCAGTGGCAGGAGGGAAAGAATGCAAAGGTTACAACAGCCACACAGTCTTGATGCAAGGCCTAGTGTTCTTGCTAGAGCAGACGCTACAGAAAATTTGCTGGCTTTTAAGAAGCACAGGCCACCTTATGATGAAGAGGCCGCTCCACTCATGCGTTACGGATGCCAGTCGAGCTCACGCAAAGTTGGCTGCAGCCATAGCAAGTGAGTAAATTAGCAAGCCGAGCTCTCTTCTCTTCTTACTTTATAAACCAAAAATAATCAAAAGACTATATCCATCGATAGTGTAGGAAACTATTCAGCAACTATTTTCTGGTGTTGAATTAAATTTTCGTTTAATCCTTTTACACCTACAGGAATACATACTATGGAAGCTCAATCTAACCACAATGCATTCTTTTTTTTTAAATTTTATTTTATTTATTTATTTATGTGTGTGTGTGTGTGTGTGTGTGTGTGTGTGTGTGTGTGTATGTGGCCAGCTCAGCCCACCAGGGGGCGGGGCTGGCTGGCATGTGGTGCTGGGGGATTGAACTGCGGTCCCCGTGCTTTGCTAAACTTGTTCTAAATAGGTGCTTTAGACCACTGAGCCATCTCACCAGCCCTACAATGCATTCTTTAAAAAAATTTCATCACTGAAACTTTATTATCAAAAATATATCACTCATATATTAGATATTGACATTATAGTACAAAATAATTTCTCCATACTGCTGGCCAGAACATTGGTCTTATAGTCACTATTCTGTACGATTGTGATAAATAAACTAACACTGTCATCATATTATGAAAAGTTCTTCTACTTATAATGATTACATTGTTAAGTTACAGAGAAGTCTGGATAAGGTATACACTAAAACCTCCTCTTTACATCCTACCTTAAAAGATTTGATGAATAATGATGAGAAAGTTTCATCAAATCCATCCCACACATCTCCAGAAAGGGAATCATTTCAAGACCAGGGAAGACTATTGATTCCACTTATTTTTTTAAATGGTTTCGCTCTCTTTTGTCTGTATACAATCACTTGAGAAAGATTTGCCTTACACAATAGTCCACAAACATGGCAGTGGAAAAATATCTCTTCAGATAAAGGCAATTGCGTTCCTTCCAGATAAAGTAATTTATCTGTGTCTCAGTTTTGACTGTATGCCAGGATTGGGTGTGTTAACCCTAGAAACTAATTAGAAATGTGCATACCATCACCTTAATCCTATAAAGACAGCTTATTCCTCAGATAAATTACTTGCTAATTGGAGAGGCACCTCAAAAGGACATTCATTATTTGAAATGTAGGTAGGCTGAACTGAGATGTGCTAAATGTAAAATATACTCTAGAGTTCAGACTTAATCGGAAACGATCGCAGTAACAGATTTGCATATTAATTACGTGAAAAAGGACATATTGTAGATACCTGGCTTAAATTAAATATATCGCTGAAATTAATTTCACCTTTCCACTACAAAACTTAAAATTGTACGTAGATTCTCAATGCACTGTTGGAGACCACTGGTCTAGGCGGGCACTGCCGGGTACTTTTAGACTAGAAAGCACGACCCCTGGCATCAGCAGCAGGTGGCTTGGGAGCTTCAGGCCTTATGCGCTGCAGTCTAATCTCAAATTCCAGGTTCTTGTCTCCAAATTTCACTCCTCACGAGTACTCACCACAATATGCGTGTAGACATTAGTCCTGGCAAGGGCAAGTATTGTCTTATCATCCAAGCTGAGAAGTTTCGGCCGAGGCTTAGTCCTTGGCTCCATTTTCATGACTTCATCATCAAGTTTCAAATCCTGGGATAATATTGATCCTTCGGAATAGTTTTTGCTTTCTTCTACGATGATGTTGTTGAATGTAGAAAACAAAGAGTGGGCCTTGACCTGGACATTTATTTAAAATGTACAAAATATGGTTGTTGCAGTTATCATTTTGGAGAATGAGCAAGCTGGGTAGAAAAGGTGAAATAGCAAGTTTGAGCTACATGGCACAGTGACACCTACGAGGGCCCGAGTCATTTAGGAATCTACAGTTAGATGAGGGATTAACGATTAACTATTAACTAAGAGTTCCTTAAAACTGGCAAAAGAATTTTAAAATGTTCAATAAAAAGGACTAGGAAGAACCAACAAAAGACTAGACATCCTGAGGCATAAATCAGAAGGGATGAAATTCACATTGAAGAGAAAAAAAAATGTAGCCTCTAACCAAAACCCATGCAGGAGAAAGCCACCCAGAAGAGCAGATTTTAAAAACTGGTGTTCAGAGAGGGGCGGTGCTGTGCTCCTTAGAAAACTACCAAATCACAGTAAGAATTGTGCAGGAGTGAGCAGAAACTCTAAGAGCACACGGAAGGGGCTCCAACTATCCATAATAGTGCACCAGTAAGCCTTTAAGACCTAGGAGAATAAGGCATCTATAATTTTTTAAAAAGCTGCTATAGAAAATAGTTTAAACCCTTCAAGGTTAAAATAAAAACAATCATTAATACAAAGATACTTAATAAATGCTGAGAAACCAGGTGGCAGCAGGTCATGATAGCAACCTGGAAGCCAGCGTGTAGCAATCAACAGAAGAACACATTCAGTCATATGTACTCAGCCCTGAAATATGTCCCAAACACATTTTTCTCCCCTGTTTTGTAGGGAAGGATCTACAGGGTGTTCAGGGTCTCACTACTAGATTGGACTCGTAGTGATCTGCCTGTTTCCAGCCTCCCAAGAGCTGGGATTACAGGCACGCGCCCCATGCCCAGTCTCAATTGCCCTCTCAGTGCACCCCGGGGGCGGGGCTCACACAGCAGGCCCCGGGATCAAACCCCTGGCCCGAGTCTGCTTGCAGGCGCTTTAATTCGCTGAGCTATTTGCCCAGCCCTCCAAATACATCGTTAAAAGCAACAAACAAACCAAAAACCCAGAAGACTTGGAGATGACTTGACTAGATACAAGGGTGCGGGTTGTTATAAACACAAATGCACAGAAGAGGGACTGAAAGCAAACCCACAGGGCCGTGCAGAGGCAGTGCCTGGGGGAGGGGAGCGGTGTCGGCTCAAAGAGAAGGCAGCTTTCACCCTTACGGGTTGCCTTGAACACAGAGTGGGACATTTCCAGTGAAGCTGCAGCATGTGCTACATCTACAGTGTATCCGCAAAACACAAATATTTAGGTATTACAATGACTTATTTAGAAAATTAAGTCTTTAGCCAGCTACACATATCCACAGGACTACACGTACACACACCTGTGCACTCAGCCACGCACATACAATATATACATGTACTCATGATGTAAATTTGACGTAACATTAACAGGTTCAGATGACTACTCTGCCTATTTAAGGAATTCCTTCTAAATATATAGAACAATTCATACCACTGTAATGTACTCAAATTCGACGACGTATTCTGGCAAAACAAGGTCATGATCGAAGACGAACCACTTGCACTGCCGGAAACCACAATCACAACTTCTTTGTCCCGCAACAGAACCTAGTATAAAAACAAAAACAAGTGAAACACTCAAATCTAGCAATATATTATGCCTTTTAACTCTCACACACAATGTACAGCAAGGCACTCTCAATCGTCCCCAATGATGAGTGAGGGCTTTAAAAAAGTCTCCCCACCCTGAAGCTTCTTGGTTGCGTTAGCGGCTCCCGTCAACCTTTCTCCGCACAGGCTCGCAGGAGCCAACCTCGTTCATATTCTTTGCCTTTTCATATTTTTTCATGTTGTGCTGAGTAAATGGTCACTTTTTAAAAAAAAAAATTTAGGGAAGGGTTTACAGGGTGTTCAGGGTCTCACTACTAGACTGGACTCATAGTGATCCGCCTGTGTACAGCCTCCCAAGAGCTGGGATTACAGGTGTGGGCCACCATGCCCTGTCTCAGTTGCAATCTCAGTAGGCCCTGGGGGTGGGTCCCGCACAGCAGGCTCAGGGATTGAAACCCTGGCCCCTGTGCCTACTTGCAGGCACTTTAATCTGCTGAACTATTTAGCTGGCCCAAGCCACATATTTTGGGGGAATATATTGCCCTAAAACTTTTGTTAAGAATTGAGATTCTTTAATTCTTATGTCACATGTGCTCATGTGCAGAACCAGTCCACTGTACCCACAGGACCTGAATCACGGATTCAACCAAGCACAGAATGAAAGTATTGAAAAGAAAGTTCGCAATGAACAGATAGAGACTTTATTATTCTCTAAATAATACATTATAATGGCTATTTAGGGTTCACCTTGTGTGAGGAATTATAAGTGACACAGAGACTATTTGGGACGATAGTGCGGGTTGCGCACAAGCACTGTCCCATTTTATGTAAAGGACTTGAACATCTGTGGGTTCAGGGATCTGAAGATGAGTGGCCCTGGTACCGATTCCCCAAAGAGCCTGAGGGATGATTACGTGTGTGTGTGTGTGTGTGTGTGTGTGTGTGTGTGTATGTACACACGCACTCACAAAACAAGTTCAGATAGGTAATAGAAAAATTATTAGTAACCAGAAACAGACTTTGTACAAAAGTTTACAAACTGGTAGGTAGAGGTTAAACTATATACAATAAGCCGTAAACTGCTGTATTAATTACAGCTGTTTTCCACTCAGAGAGATTGAATTATATTTCTTTTATGATGAGCATACTTCGTAAATATTTCTGAGGCACGAACACTGAATTAACTGTGGGATAGTTGGCTTGATTGATAGATTCCTGTTCATGAGCTTGAACACTTTGGCCAATAAAAACCTTGGTAATAAGGAGGATGCCTAAATATGAAAAAAAAGAGAGGATATTTAACAATTAGTCACTTTAATAGCTTTCTACTGTAAACTTCTCTATTGGCCAAGACTTGACTTACATTCTGTAAAGGCAGAGACCAGGCTGTGCTGCTTGCCACCCGAGGGTGCCCAGCCACACCCCTCACTCCACCTCCTGGGAGGAGGCGCTCAGCAAACAAATGAAAAAGCTATGAAAGAAGAGCCCTGGGATTGCATCGAGCCAAGCTTTACATTAAAAAGAGGAAAGAACACAATAATTCAGCCACGTTTCTCTTAAGTTCTAAAGTTAGTGGTTTTTGTTGTTAACTAAAATTTATATAGCTTAAGATACATGAGCATTAAAATCTCCTTTAGATTAGTTGATCCTTGAGATCCAACTAAGTATTAAAGATTCCCAAGAATCAATAATGGGGAAAATCATTTCTAATCACTACATATAAAAGTCAAAAGATTGTTTTTACAATGTGTTAGATACAAAACAAATTGGAAGAACATAATTGTCTTTGAAAAATGTATCTCATAAGGTTCTAATAGAACAGCATGAAGTATTTCTTAAAATGGAAATGGAGAAGAATTTATTTTTTTAAAGTAGCAAATGGCTTTTTCGAGTGAGGCATCCTTAATTCAATAATCATGTATAATTTGCTCATTACTAATGAAGCACAACACACACACACACACACACACACACACACACACTTTGGGTTGACACGAAGCATCTCAGCAGATCTAAGTCTGGAACAGAAAACATCATTCTTACAGAATTCAGTAACTAACTTCTGACACTGGGACAGCAGGTGCAAGGTGGGAGCCAAGCACAGGTGTCCACCTCCGATCTGATCTACGCCTCTCATTGGACATTCTTGGGTACTATGCACCAAAGCTTCATAAGTACATTCATTCATGCAACTACTAATATTTTAAGCCCTTTAAAGAAGCAATGGATTAGCGTTTGGACTGTATCTCTAGCACCTACCAGATCATAACAGTGGAAGAGGAGAAAAGAGAGGGCAGGGTGAGCTCATCTTTCCTCAATTTGTGGGTAAGCTCTCTCAGAGAGTCCTGCCAATTGCTTCCCATACTTATTATATATATATATATTAATATATATTATATAATATATGTGTTATATGTGTATATATTGTATACTATTATATAAGCTACATATGTAGCTACATCATATATTATTATATAAGCTACATATGTATACATTAAAAATTTATCTTCTATGAAGCAAGTTATAAAGTGATCTGCAGACTTCACAGTTCATCTCTAGCTGATTTTAAATTATAACTAGGTTTTCTTACTCTATACTGTGATTATTCAAGATTAAAAAAGTTCCACAACTTAGAGTGCTTTATGGGATTATCACATATATGGACCTTGTACTTTTTCCTTCCTATAAGTTTGGTGTGTGTGTAACATATACATGTGTGCTCACGTTCCAATACATCTATATGTTGCACTTGTTTGTTTATTAAAATTTATGTATTTATTTATTTGGTACAGGGTCTCACTGTGTAGCTTGGTCTCATAGTGATCCTCCTGTCTCAGTCTCCCCAGTGCTGGGATTACAGCCATGTGCTACCACACCAGATTTCAACAGCCAGCTTAGCATGAGGCTGGCACTGCACGCAGCACCAGGGATCAAACCCGGGTCTTTGCACTTGTCAAGCAGGCAGTTAGAGTGCCAACCTATCTTCCTGGCCCTGCACTTATTTTTTAACACAATAAACACAAGGAGGCTGTGGAAAACGTATGTAAGTTATATTAAATGTCTGAATGATAGATGAGTATTTTTGTTAATACTGATACAGAATGATACACATAACTATTTGCTCATAATGTAGCTATATTGATTATTACATTTTAAAATAAATTTAATAAATACACATTATTCCACTAATACATATGAAATAAAATGGTTTGATGGAAACCTCCTGGATTGGTAAAACCAAGTATCAAAAATGATATGAAAATAAATAAATTAGAAGACAAAAATTCAAAAACACTGTCTACTTGTATTACCATGTCTGAAGAGCTCCTGATCCAGAGAGCTTTTCTTCTCACTCTCGTGTTTTTGCTGTAGAAACTCAATCCGTGGACACTCACACATACTTAGGCTGTTCACAAGAATAATAGCTTCTCTCCCGAGAGGCAGCTGCAAAGAATACACATAGGAGTATTTTTTTTAACAGAATGAACAATCCTTTGGTTTCAATACAAAGCCGGTGTGGCTGGCTTATGATTTTATGCACGTGTCTCACAAAGAGGTGTGTGGCTCAGACTCCCTGAGGAGAAGTAGCTTCCCCCAGGCATGACTCTGCTCTGCAAGGCCATTGCAGTATTTTAAATTCATCTGATAATAAGTTCATAAAAAAGTGATCTAGAGTTGGTTAGGGTGAGAATTCTACCTATTAACTGCTATTTTCAAAAACCTGATGGAGATTCTTAGGATCATTGACTTAACCATCTTGTTTATATAAATGTATGGTTTTGCCCCAGCCACAGTCCCTAACTTTTCTACTTTCTCCCTCTTCATTGTTTAATCCTTAAGTTCTCACTTTCTATTTAATTGTGTTATAACTTTCAATTTTAATTTCTTCTTTTGAGTTCTTACACTAGGGAGACAATACGATATTCACCAAATACAGCTTCTCTCTAACTGCAATGGAACACCTATCTCTGACAAAACAAAAAAGGGGGAAATAAATGAAAGACCATTTTGCGGTGAAAAAAAATATATGTATATACAAAATAGTAAGGATAGAATTTTTTTTTTTTTTTTTTTGCGGAACTGGGGATTGAACTCAGGCCCTTATGCTACTTTCTTAGTTCAATGAGATTTGTATTAATATTGTTTAGACAAGAGATCATGTCTGCATCTTGTACTCTGAATAACCACTACAAAGACAACAATATGCAGTGTATTAATAATTGTAACTGTCCTACTAACCTGTTTTGAAACTGTCTCATTGCTATTTCTTTCTCATTAAAATTAACTTAAAAATTATAAAAATAAAGTGATCTAGAACAAAATCTGCTCCTGCAAAAACAGCCAATGTCTTCTGACCACACCATGGGGCATGGGCATTAGCTTTTGGGGTGCACTCCACTAGCAATCTTGTTAAACCCAAACATCAGTGAAAGTTCTTATTTATGATGTTTTGGTCTAATCATCTACCTTGTTTTCCGGAAACACGTTATTTATTACTGTGGCGAGGCATGAAAATTCCATTTTGCATTGTGACTAGCAGCTTTATTTCTCAAAAGGGTTACATCAGTAATATCCGCATTACCTGCCAGGCTAGCAGCTCTAAAGTCAGCATAAAAGAATCTCTATTTTTAGGCAGAAAATGGGAGCTCAGAGACTACATGATCTTTCCAAGAGCAGAAACAGGAATTAACAGTCATGACTTACATACAGATTGTAGGTCTTTGTCATGATTAGTTTTAAATTTATCACTTGTTTTATATTAATAGCCACTTTACTTAAAATGATAACTTTTCTGAAATGCTAACTATATTTTTTTCTTCACTTGATCTTAGCCAAAAGGCTGAGAAGCGATTATATTTTTTTCTTATTGAAATATGCTATCTGAAGAGTTCTTAAAAATCAGTGATGAGGGGGGCCGGGAGATGGCTCAGTGGAATAAGCGCTTCCCTGGCAAGCGGAAGGGCCAGAGTTCAATCCCGGGTTCCGCAAAAAAAAAAAAAAAAAAAAAAAAGGTATAAAAATCAGTGATGAGACAGGGAAGGTCTGGGACGAGGGCCACTAGTCTGAGTCTAGCCTGGGCCCCTTGCATCAAAAACACACACAAGAGAAGTTGGAATGTGGCTCAGAGCAAACGAGCAAAAGAACAAGTGGCTTATGCGACCACGTATGCACGTCTCAGATTGGCAATGATCATCAGTATAAACTACAACCTCTCCGCACGGCACTGGGAAGGTACGCCATGACCTCGGTCTTCAAGTGACAGAGGGAAAGCAGGAGCTCTCCCTAAGACTTAAAAATAAAAGCATCACAAGATGTGTTAAAAAAAAAAAAAAAAGATATCCTCTTAAACTGAAGAGATTAGGAAAGTGAAGAGGTGACAAGACCATGACTAGGCCTCAAAAACTGGATGTAATTAAAATAATAAGAAATCAAAAAGTCATCTTTTAAGAGGAGGAAAGCATACAAAGGTTACAGAAACATGTTATGCGCATCTGCCGTCTGCTCACCTGATTTCACCGAGAACCTTTCCCTAGGCCCAGTGCTGCCCTGAAGGGCTAGCAGAGTAGGACCCACAGCCGGCTGCAGGCCAGCCATCCAGGGGCTACAGCTGTAACTCTCAAGGGACTGCCACTTAATAGACCAATGCTTGACAGTTTGCAGGACGCTCCAGTAGCCCACTGCTCTCTATAAACCTGCTCTCTGTAACCCACCACCCAAGGATGGGATGGAACTTCGTGAAACCCTGCTGAACTTTCGTCAGGTCGTGCTGTAGGCTCCCCAAGTGTCAGTTTTGTTCTTGAATTTATGCCAGTTATAATTGCTCTTGAAATGACGCATATTATATAAAGCAAAGAAATGGAAGGAAAGTTCTCTTTCTGAGAAGAAAATTAAGTAAAATTTTATCATGGTTGTTCACTATCTCAGACAACTGTGGTAAAATATCATACCAAAACTTTTCTATGTAGCAGGCACTGTTGCAAGAACTTTTTTGGTAGCTTTTAATAATATATTTTATTTAATTCAGCAGATGTATGAAATATTATTTCAACATGTAGCCAGTATAAGAAGCTAGAGTGCTTCTTTCGTACTAAGCTTTACAATCCGGGTGTGTATTTTAAACAGGCGCTTGGGCCAGTCACATGTGGTCATCCTATTGGACACAGCAACTCTGGCAGCTCTAGCAGAATCAAAGGAGAAAGTCTGTCTCGCAGACGGCATGGGAGCTAAAGCATTTGGCACAGTACTGGTGGCTGGAGAGAACAGAAGGCGTCAGCCCCTTCCTCGCCCCCCTTATCCATGAGGGCTCCTGGTTCCCGGAATCGAACGAAAGCCTTATTCTAAGCGACGCTTTATGCTACCTTGCTTGCTTCGCTCTCCTTGAACCCTTTCTCAAGTATCTGGAGCAGATGCTTTTTCTTCACTGTAATTTCAGGGTCAAAAACATAAAAAAGGCAGTCCAGCATCTTGCGATAGCTCCTTAATCATTGGGACAAAAGAAAGAACACTGAGAACTGATTTTACAAGAGCTTAGTTACAGATAAATTAATTATATACCCCTGAGGGCATTTCTGTTTCCTTTTTTTTTTTTTTTTTTTTTTTTTGGCGGAACCGGGGATTGAACTCAGACCCTTGTGTTTGCCAGGCAAGCGCTTATTCTACTGAGCTATCTCCCCGGACCTGACATTTCTGTTTCTACTGGATGTTCCCTCATTTTTAAAACCTTTACCATCCACCCCCACTGTAGAAAGTACCAAGGCAGATAAATAATGAGATCACCTCTCTAGGGTGTAGTCTCAGTACTATTAACTTTCAAAATAGACCTTTTAAAATAAAATAAATCCAGATTTTCATAAAATCGTTCTTTATAGAATTCAGTTTCTTACTCTGGATCATGCGTATCTTCATCACCTAAAAACTTCTGAAATTTTTCTTCAAATTTTAGTCTCAGAATACGGTTGTTAACTTTAATGACACGTTTTACTTTTATTCCGGTAATGCCATAGGTTCTGAAGTCCCATGTACAGAAACGTGACAGAATTAATTCATAACAGGAATTATACCTATGTGGAATACAAAGCATACATAAAGAAAATAACAGATTTTCCTTAAAATGTTTAAGAGTACAAAGTTACATATGCTAAAAATTATTGCTCAAAGTTTGTGTTTTTGGCTGAAGATACACAGTCATGTAGCAGCTCTGCTTTAGCTCATACCATGTATACTTAATCTATAAAAGATGCTAAATTTTTAAATAGGGAAAAGAGGTTCTTTCTAAACTACTCTCTATTTTTTTCTGACTAAAAGCTAGATCGTTTGACCAATTCTCTATTCTTGAACTAATTCCCTTCACTGGCTTCAGTGAAACTGTACATTCCTGTCTTCCTCCTGGTTGGTGGCTCCTCGTGGCTTTCTCGATGGGTTCTTGGGTGACAGACTTCCCGTTTGGGTTTCCCCAGGGAGCAGCGTTTGGCTACCTTCTTGTCACAAACACTCTCCCCGGGTAACTTCATCTGGTCCCTGGTTTTATATATACTCTTATAAATTATACCATTTTGCTTCTAGCCTTTGTCTCGAGCCACAGTACCTGTATGTACGCAGGCCGGGAGATCTAACTACATACTTGATATGTCTATCTGTGCAAGCAACACCTCTATTGACCAGAACTGCACTGCAGGATTCACCTGAGGACTTTCTGTAATAGTATTCTATGGTGCAACATCTAACTTGCATCCTATGTTAAAAGCACAGAGATTTTTAAAAATCAAAACAAAACGAAGCCCACAGACATAACCACCTTCTCTGTTGCCTGCTAACACCTGATTCCTCTGCGTGCCTATGCAGCGCTCCCACACACTCTGGTCTAACTACATCCTGCATACGATCACATCTACCAGCACCACTGTCATCCTAGCTCAGGCAATCATCAACTCTCAGCTGACTACTGTGATAGCTCCCTACCGAGGGACTCAGAAGTGAAAGAGACCATGTCTCTGCTCTCAGTGATCCAGGAGGACCAGGTAGATCACAAAATAGTTTCTAAATACGGCAACTATGGAAAGATCTGTGTAACAGCTGAGTGAATCAATATTTTTTCAAAGGACCAAAACATGTACGGTTACACATGAAATACTTTTAGAAATTAATCTTTTAGAAATTAATCTCAAAGAATACAAAGTTCACAGATGTGGTTTCAGATTCCAAAATGGAATCAACTTTGAAAAATTTGAACCTCCACTGGTCAGGATTTGAAGTATCAAAATAAATATCATATCATAATAAATTATAGAAGCACATATAAAAATTTAGCTGTCTTCAATTCAGCCAAATAAAAATTCTGAAAAAAAAAGAGCAAAATCACAGTGCTTTTCCAAGTAGATTTTTTTCTGTTTTGGAAAAGTTATATTTCCTAAAATTGTCATTTAAAAGACAGGACTTGGAGAAGATGTCACAAAAGATGTTTGATCTGAGAAGAGAGGGGTAAGGGGGTCCAGAGCCAGCAGACGCTGACTTTCTGCTGCCCTCGTGTGGCCATCCTCCTAAAATTACACTCTAGAGAATGTAGACTGAGATTTTCAAAATAGAACATTTGAGAAGAAAGTGGTACATGGGACTGGGGCTATAGCTCAGTGGAATAAGTGCTTGCCTGGTAAGCACAAAAAAAAGACTGACTTTAATCCCTGGTACCACAAAAAAAAAAAGAAAGAAAGAAAGAAAGAAAGAAAGAAAGAAAGAAAGAAAGAAGAAAGAAAGAAAGAAAGAAAGAAAGAAAGAGATACATGTAAGTGAATATGGCTCGCATTTCCCCTAATTCAAAATCTAGCAGGGCCTGAACCTGAACGTGAGTGTGAGTGTGGACCAGAGTGAGCTTCCACCGAGCTCAGCACCGGAGCTTCTAAGCGGCTCAAGGGAAACTAACCCCGCAGGACCTGACAGCCGCTAGAGGAGACAGAATTGAATGGAGCAGGGCTACAGTCCAGCATGCTACCTGCTAACCAGCTCAAAGATCTCACAAAAACCCACATTGCCATCTGCAGTGGGAAATCTGCTGAGCCTACCCAGGGACCATTGTCTAGATCCAACTGAGCCACACCTTATCTAAATAACTAGTCTTGGAGCCATGGAAGCTGTCCATATCAGACTTCCTTCACTCTGATAGGGATTCACACCACTGGCATTCTAGATAAAGCTTTTGTTATTTAGTGGACATCTTACTAGGGCCGGAGTGTCCTCATGAATTGGAATTGATGAATGGATAATACTGAGCTTCTAGTCCGGCTACGAATAGCTCCATGAGAGAGCTCTCTCCGCTCTTGCAGCAGCTGAGCAATGATAGAGCGAGGATGAAGACACAACCTTCTTCTGAGTGACGACAGCAGAACAAGCAAAACCACCCAGGGGGTATGTGTCACCTGTACCCTGGGAACAGGGAGGTACGTGGTTCAGTTGACTGTAAAACGTTCTAAAACAGAATGAGAGTTCAGAGGCACAGAAATCTCCCTGGCAGGCAAAGGGTCTAAGTGTAATTTGGAAGGAAGCAGACAGCGCCTAAAGGTTTTCATTTGGTTTTGTTTTTAGCAGTGTTTCCAACAGGAAGCACATCAGCAAGGTTCGTATGAGAGACCGTTTAGGAATCTGTCCTGATTAAAGGCCACTGTGTGCCCACTACGTGCAGGCACTGCAAGAGGTGCTGTGGCAA